ATCACTACACTGGTCTTATATATATCATATATGAACTTGAATACTACCCAAAATATAATAGATTAAATTGCAATAAACTGAACAAATTAATTTAGTTGGCCAAATAAAACAGATTAATTTTTAATAAAATGGAACAAATAAACTAATTAGCCAAAAGCAAAAAAAAAAATTTAGTCGAGACATGTATGAACATAGTTTCCTTAAAATAGATTCGTCTCCTCACCATAAGTGCTTGAAGATTAAATTGGATGTCTATCTCTCAGGATAAAATGGATGAACAGTAGGATTTGAGCACCTCAAATACTACTCTATCAAACTGGATATGTGTCTGAACAATATCACCTATAGTTTTTCTCTTATTTTTCTTGTTTTTCTTCTTATGTAGAATTGTTAGAAATCGGTTTGCTTATATAGGCTCAACACCATAAATATCATTAACTCGTATATAATGCTAATGAATATTGGAGTTTTGGCAGTTTCGAAATTCAAATGGTCAGTTGGAGGAAAAAAATTAGCAAAACATAAGCTCTTCTAAGGGACCAATTTCCACGTCCGAAGCTTATTTTGGTTCGATCTGCTCTCCCATGCTCACACGTAGAGAGAACATCTATACTATACATGATCACACCATTCCAAATTACAATTCTATTTAAAGTGACATTTGCTTTCATAATTTTCCAATGTGAGAAAACCTTAAATGGTTTCTCTCCAATAACATAAACTTATTTCAATTAACATATTTTGAGCTCCAATTTCTCATTCATCCGAACATCATTTTTTGAAAGTAAATACATGATTTAGATGTTCTCACGGAGTAGAACACAAATCAATTTTGAACTTCCAAAATAACAAACCAAATCCCACTCAAATTTTGTGCCAAAATGTCAAAATTAGCCACTCAACCCATTTTTTTCAACACTTTTTAGCTTAAATTACTTGACTTTAGGGAAAACTTGATTAAAAATAGAAGCCAAGTGAAAATTTGTGTCAGTTGAAAACACGATGTGAAATAATAGATTTTATTTTCAGAAACATGAAATCATTCTGAGCTGAAAAATCTGTATTACGGGGCATGCAAATCACCCGAAGATCTACATGGGGCCTTACCCGTGTGTCTAATCAAATATCTAATTGACTTAAGTACGTTAACAACATAAAATTCACCTAAATTGTAAATAACATAGGTTGGTTGACCTCCTTGTGGTCCTTTGCCGGCTAGGATCACAAGGCGAGATTTACCTAATGCGCACTTTCGGGTAGCGGTTACGGGTTCCCTTGTCAACAAAAAAATAAATAAATTGTAAATAACATAAATGAGAATTTAGAACGTCATTTTCTTCAACTTACTCTTAAGCGAAAACTCTTGTCGGTGATTGGAAAATTTGAAAGGCTACTTTCACGGTAAGAAGTGTCGAATTAGAACTGTATTTTAAGGTAGGTTAAGAACTTGGAGTTGGACTTAAATGGAATTTCGGGACGTGTTATTTTTTTTAGCTAAATTTATAATGTTAAAAAAATATGAAGAAAAGAAAAGAAGGATAAATGGACCAAACATCATGGTAGCATATAGTTCGATTTCTCGGTACTATGATTTGCATATGGGTTCAAAATTGATCCAGTCACGAATACAAGCAGTTGTAGAAGTCAACTGTGAATTATAATAACTCTATCCAAATCCAAGTTGGATGAGCCAATTTTAAGAGCGAGTTTTAGTTGATTTGAAATTTGAACACATATTTTACGACTCATTACAGTGAAGTGTTTTTGTATTACCTGACAGATATTACGAAAAGCAAGAGATGTGAACGTTCATTAAACAGAAATGTACATTTTTAAATCAATCATTAAATGCATACCAGTGGCTTCCATAAATACTCTCTGATTAAAAATAAAATATAGTTGGAGTACAAAATGAGGTAAAAACCATTAGTTTGTAGTAATGGTCCATTTGAAGTCAATGTGCAATTAAATAAGATTATGTGCTAATTAATTTGCTAGCTTTTGGCAGCATTCCCTCTGAAATTCAAATCCCTAATATTTGAATAATCCATTTCTTTAGGGTGACAGCTTTAGATTTCAAAAAGCAAAAGAATTTGTTGTTTTTGGAGATTGCCTTTTCGATAGTGCAATGAAAAGGCAACGTTAAACTAAAAATCCACCCAATTATTTTCCTCTTCATGGTACATTAAGCAGCGACGGGATCTTAGCTTGTTTAGAAGATGTATAAAACTATTCTATAAAGCTTATGACATATATTCATAAAGTGTTACCTTTATTTTTCTAGTACAAAATATCTGCCATTATAAATTTCTTCAATTCCAAATGGAGATACTAACGCATTATTTCTTGTTTATCGACTAACTCTTAAGATATTCAATTTTCTTTTTCTGAATTTTCGTCCGACAATAAGTTTTATAATATTTAAGACCCAAAGATGCCCCTTGTTTGAGGGAATCACCAATAGCCCTAATTTTTGTTGTAAAAGGAACCAAACAAGTTCGAGGCCATCAAATGTCAATTTTTGTAGGGATAAGAATCCAACGAACACAAAGGACCACAAGGAAACAATCGTCGGTTGGAGTACATATTAAGATTGTTTTTGGAATAAGATAATGAATAAATTTTACTATATGTCTCTATTTTAAGTTCTATTTAATTATATTTACGGTCGGGCTTTCGAAAAGTTTAAAAAAATACTTTTGAAATTAAGAATTATTTATAAGACTGTTTAGATAATTTTCTAGAAGGTATTTTATCTAATTATAGGAGTTTTTAGAAGAAGCCGACTCAATGTAATTTTCTCAATAATCTTTTCTACAAAAAGTAAAAATAGAAGTAGAAGTTACCCCAAACAAGTCCTTAGCATGCAAACTTGTTTATTAGCAAGACTATTTCAAATCGAACATTCATACAGGATACTAATATTTCTAACTTTTATGCTCTCAGGTGAAAAATAAAAAGTAAAAATGTATATTGAAAAACTTTAATCCGAATTTTTTATTCAGCTTTTTAGAAAGCTCAAAAGGATTGGATTGCGCGTTTTATTTAGTCTTGGCCGTTGATTGCGGTTGAGAATTAAGTATTATTTAGTCAAAACTACTTTCTCAGCCTTATCCTATTTTGGCATTTTTCGCTTTTCCTCTTTTATTTATATATTCTTCTTTGACTTGTGGAAGATAAAAGATGTATATACATCAAATTTATTTCGTAAATAGAGGAAGTTATTTCCTTTTTAAGTAATAAATTACTCGATTCAATGTTAAATGAACAAGTAAAAAATATATCAATATCTTCATCTATTTTTAATTATTACGATTAGCAATAATTTTAAATAATAGCATTATATATTGAAGACCATGTCAAATTTAAAATAATAAAGAATTATAGTAAATTAAGGCTAAAATTTTGGTTCTTCTTAGTCCTCTGGCATTTTGTATTTGCTTGATAGTAATTTTATGATGAGACCGTGAATCACAATTAACGCTGCTCAAGACTCCCTTTTTCTATATCATCGTTTCCATTTCACCTCATTTTAGCTCCCACCTAACCAATCTCATCGCCGGCCATGTCGTTTTTGCTATTGATGGCAAAAAACTTGTTTCACCATAGTTTTAAAATATGTTTACACATGACAACGCCTTAATAGAATAATTGCATGTATTTTATATTACGTCTGGCTGTCAATTTAAAAAATCAAGGGTTATTATAGACATTTAAGTAACTAGTTGTTGGGGGACTTTTTGACTCCCTTTTCGCTAACTCTCAAGCATAACTGCACAAGTTACTTTGACAGTGTGTCCCAATCACAAATTTCGCATAATTAACTAAATTGTTGTTTATAATTAGACTCTCTAAAAGTTCAAATTGTTACCAGAAAAAATTAAATCTTTATCTATAGTTGCAATAAAAGAGAGTTGGGTCCGATAAATAGAAGGATAGAAACCTGCGAGTTCAGTTAATTACTGAAAAGAAGAATCAATAATCTTTCTTTTCTGCTGGGCACTTACGTCATTCAGTCGAAACCAACTTTCGATCTTAATTTTAATAATTTCTCTCTTTAGACATATTCTATTTGTTGATAATAATTTAGGGAAATCTGAATACGTTAATGAATTCCAAGGCACGAAATGAAACGTTATCTTTTAAGAGATGTTTCTCCCCTATTCAACAAAGTCACAACGGGGTATAATAGAAAATCTCTCTCAGGATACAATAGAGGCGTTTGATTCAAATTGTGACTATTTGATCAAACCAAGAAAACACTCGAATATAACTGATTGATGCCAAGAGAAAGAAGGAAAACTAAATTTTTTTTATGTCTTTGCAAATGAGAATTCGTCCAGAATTTATAGACACTGAGGCAACTGTTTGAATAGGTGTATCCCTTGAAAGTGACTGTTAAAAATGAACAGATGCACTTATTCAAAAACTTTTGAAAATAAAATTCTCTTTCGGGGGCGTTGCTCCCTAGCCCCCACGGGGGCGCTGCCCCCTCGACCCCCGCGACCTAACCGGGCAGGTCGAACCCCGTTGCGCAGCGACAAACACTAATCCGGTCGGCAAATCATTCGCAAAACAAAAAATTAAACATATGCAAAATGATGAAAATTATCTAATACTATTGACATCAAGCTAGCGTTACGAACGAAATCCTCTTTCAGTTACATGCAAAAAGTAACCTATAACCTAATTTTCTCTTCTCTTGAATGATCTTCAATCCGCATTACCTCTATTTACTGACCTATGTACTTTTTTTTTAATCTTAGCATCGTCATTTCTTTTCTATTTATCTTATGAACACTATAAATCTTTAGCGATCCTAAGTTGGAAGTTTCGATACTATATCAACCGACAAATTCTAAAACATCAAATTGTCGAAGAAGGCAGAATTTATTTAATTGTTACATTCCAGGTAATTTCTTGCCAAATTGCCACCTGAAATCTCTATAATTTATAATAAAAGAAAAACCCAACACCGACGCTTCTTAGCAAAAGAAGCCGAACCAAAGCACATGCCACTGCCCATTTTCATTCCCTCCTCATAAAATATTCGAAAAAACCAACTGCATTTATTGATCACTACCCATTTTATCTAAATTTGGCACCTTCCCTTCACAGTTCACACCACCATATATACTGCCTCTTACTGTCTCTCCCACTATATATGTGTGAATCTGTTCCGTGTAAGTATATCAGAAATTTTTTCTGGTAAACAGATACAGCATTGGCATTTTGTTTATATATAGTGCCTGTTGAAAGAACAGATCTGTGTACTGATTCTATTGATTTTCCTTTTTCATTATTTGGGTTGGGATAAGTGACAAAAATTTAATGCTGAAGAATTTGGGGCTCTGTTTTTCAATGGGTTCTCTGTTTTTGTTAATTGCTATTTTGCCTCTGGCATTGGCTGGTCATGATTATAGGCAGGCTCTTAGCAAGAGCATTCTCTTCTTTGAAGCTCAGAGATCTGGTTACTTGCCCAGAAATCAAAGAGTCCAATGGAGGGGTCATTCTGGTCTCAATGACGGCAAAATTAGTGGGGTATGTTGATTTTTTTTCTTCATACTGTTTGGTGAGGTAGATTCAACAAGTTCAATTTCCGACTGAACAATTGGTTTCGTTTTTCATTTCTTGAATAGAAATTACTTGGAATGGTGCAGGTGGATCTTGTGGGAGGGTATTATGATGCAGGGGACAATGTGAAATTTGGGCTGCCAATGGCATTCACCGTAACCATGATGTCTTGGAGTATAATAGAGTATGGAAAGCAAATGGCGTCTAGTGGAGAACTTGGACATGCCATTTCTGCTGTTAAGTGGGGCACTGATTATCTCATCAAAGCCCACCCTCAACCTTATGTCCTTTATGGAGAGGTAAATCACTTTACCGAACATGAATTCTTGTGGAGTCATAATCATTCGACTCTACTTTTCTTTACTAGTCGATTTTATACTGTCCAATGTAGCTGTAAATTGTAATACGACGTCTCCTGCTTCATTTGTGGATGCATTCTTGTTATGTTTGATACTCGATAGTAGACGGACTAATGAATACGTTGATTACTTGATTTCCTATAGGTTGGGGATGGGAATACGGACCACTACTGCTGGCAACGGCCAGAGGACATGACCACTTCTAGGGCCGCTTACAGAATTGACGCAAGCCACCCTGGATCCGACCTTGCCGGCGAGACCGCCGCCGCTATGGCTGCCGCCTCCGTCATCTTCCGCCGCTACAATCCTTCCTATTCGGCGGAGCTTCTCAAACATGCCTACCAGGTGTGTAGACTAACCACATAAGCAACAGTGAGCAGGCTGGTTGTTGTCGGTGCATTTTAGCGGTGGGGAGGTTACACATTTACATTACACCTCGAATCAGTTGCGCATTTTCGATAGAAATAATAAATAAAGATTGTAAAAATTGCACCATTCGTCCAACGTATTAGTAAAGTTGCAATTTCATCTCTATTCTTTGAAACGGGCAAAATAAACAGAACACTATTACTTACTTTTCCCGCCCCTTTTTGTTTCCAATCAGCTGTTCGATTTTGCGAACAAATACAGGGGAAAGTATGACAGTAGCATCACAGTGGCTCAAAAGTACTATCGATCTGTCAGTGGATACGCCGTATGTGATTCCACCTCCAAAAATGCTTTTCTATAAATAATCAAAATTACTTGTTAACTTATCGATGATGCAACTACAGGATGAATTGCTGTGGGCAGCTGCATGGCTGTACAAAGCAACAAATAATTACTACTACTTAAATTACCTAGGGAACAATGGCAATTCCCTTGGAGGTACAGGGTGGGCCATGACTGAGTTTGGTTGGGATGTTAAATATGCTGGGGTCCAGACCCTGGTCGCCAAGGTAACTCGTCTATGTTATGTAATTATTATTATAAATCTGCTGTCTAATCATCCTCAGAGTACTGTGCAATGAGTAATTTTCATCTACATTTCTTGCATGTAACAAAATTGGCTGCAGTTCCTAATGCAAGGTAAATCGGGTCATAATACAGCAATCTTTAGAAAATACCAAGAAAAGGCCGAGTTTTTCATGTGTTCGTGCCTCGGAAAGGGAACACGCAACGTTCAGAGGACTCCCGGAGGCCTCATTTTTCGCCAGAGATGGAACAATATGCAATTTGTCACAAGTGCCTCATTCCTTCTCACGGTGTACTCTGATTATTTGTCATCCGCCGGCAAGATCCTCAGGTGTGCTTCAGGCAATGTGGCGCCGTCCCAACTTCTCTCGTTTGCTAAATCTCAGGTGAAAATTCCTCCCAAAAACCAGTCGATCATGAATCCAGTAACTACACATTGTGTTACTGAAGTCTTGTGCGATCTTTTAGGTGGACTATATTCTTGGAGATAACCCAAGAGCTACGAGTTACATGGTGGGATATGGAAACAGTTTTCCGAGAGAAGTTCACCACAGAGCGGCATCTATTGTCTCCATTAAGCAAAACCCTTCGTTTGTGAGTTGCCGAGGTGGTTACGCCACATGGTTTAGCCGTAAGGCAAGCGACCCCAATCTGCTTACCGGTGCACTTGTTGGTGGACCGGATGCGTATGACAACTTTGCTGATCAAAGAGACAACCATGAGCAAACCGAGCCTGCTACTTACAACAATGCACCCCTTCTTGGTACGTTGGCACGATTACACGGTGGTAACAGAGGATACAATCAGCTTCGTCCAGGTTTGCTTATTAAAATCAATGATTTCATTTCTGTGAATTAAAACCTTGTCAAGATTTTGCTTAGAGGACACGTACTAAATACTAATTATGCATTTTTAAATCAGCGGAGCTTCTCTCACTTAAACCGATTGCTAGTCAGCCAAAGCATGCTCCAAAACCAGGGACAAATCCAGCTCCAGGTACCCTTCCTTCTTTATGAAGTAATTAATGGTTTGTTTTGTAACGTGGACTGCACTGTACTGCACACTATTATAAAAGAAACAAAGTCAAAAACTTGTTCGTTGTACTGCTTGATAAAATTGAGTACTATGTATCAAATACGCCTCATGGTGTGGGATATAATGCTTCATGAACATGTCATTTTGGAATTGTATGCCTAACGCTGGAAACTGTTTTCAGCTTCGTCTGCCAATCCAATTGCAATTGTCCAGAAGGTGACAACTTCATGGATTTCCAAAGGAAAAACTTACTACAGATACTCTACAAAAGTGACAAACAAATCTTCGAAGAAACTCAAGAATATGAAGCTCTCAATATCCAAGCTCCATGGTCCTCTATGGGGTCTCACAAAGTCGGGGGATTTCTATTTCTTTCCAGCATGGATTAACTCTTTGGCAGCTGGTAGAAGTGTCGAGTTTGTGTATATCCACTCCAGTTCTCCTGCAGAGGTCACGGTATCAAACTATACTCTCGTCTAAGATGAGAGAAGCTGTTTACGAAGAGAAATTCACATCGTTTCTATATGATATTATAATGTAAGAATTGTGCAGCTATACAGGACACTGACCAAAGGTGTTTTCTCCTTTTGAATTACCAAGTTTCGATTACTTGTTGATTTGTGATCTAAGTAGGGATTTTGATGGGATTATGGTTAATAAGGTCGAGGTGGGAAGAAGAAAGGAGTGAAGAGACAACTTAACACGGGTGCTCATCCTCTTTCTTTGCCGCTTCATCAGTTACAGAGAGAGAGACAGAGAGAGAGAGAGATGAGTATGAGAAGTTAATCTTCTCAACAAAGCTTAGAAGTTTTATGTTCTCTTGTACTTCATAGCCGGTTTTAGGGTTTGTTCTGCATTGCCCTTTCTTGTGTTTGATGTTGTAAACTCCACAACATTTCCTATCTTGGAATTTTATTACATCCATAATTTGTGCAAAAGATCATATACGGCCCAAAGTGGGTTCTCTTTTATTTATGCCTGGGCGAAAAAATCGAAAAATCAATCAAACCAAACCGACTTGGTCGATTTGACATTGGTTTTGGTTTGATTTAATTTTCTTTTAAACAAAATTACGGTACATCGATTCGTCATAATTTGAAGTCTCAAACCGTTGGTTAAACGAACCAACCCAATTGAACCTACTTACATATTTACCTTTCTTTTTTTTTTAATTTAAGAAAAATAAAAATCAAAAGATAAGCCCTAATCTCATAGTTATATCTCAATTCCTTCCAATCTATGATGTTGCCGATAAATAACAGCACTGAAAATTTCCTTTTACAAGCTCATTATTTGTTAGTCAATATTTCTTGTAATATAAAATTATCTGGTTATTTTAGTTTTGTAATCTAAGTGGGCCTAAAACTCGGATAATTTTTTTTTTTTTTAAATTCAATTTGGACTGAAAGTCCAAACCGACTAATCGAACCGAAGAGTGGGTTGGTTTGGATTGAAATTCATCCAAATCGACTAACTTGATTTTGATTTCGAGTTTGAGTCGAAATTGATCCAAACCAAATTGCGCACAAACCTACTTTTATCGGTCACCCCACTAAAATAAACTTTTCTTTGGTTCCTTTCTTCATTTATCATTCAATATTATGGTGTCCCCAAGCTTAAACCTAAACAATACAAACACAAAACCGGATTGTAAAATGGCAGCTTTACTTTGAATGATTGCATTGATAAGTAGTGGATTTCAGACTATATAATAGAATAAACGCTTAACTCCAGCAACTAGAGTAATCGAAGTGCTTATTTTCTCCACAATTTCAGTAGCGCCAGAATTAAATGCAAGAAATCACTACATAGAAGGAAAAGTCTATACATTAATCTTTCAATGCCCCTGTTTGACCCCATTATTAGAAGAAAAAATACTCATTTTGGATTGTGTAAATATAATGGGGCTCAAATATAGCATATATTGATTGCCACTAAAATCCCATCACTAGTGAAAAAATTCAGCCAACATATAGTATTAGACACAGCATAGCATTCTGAGATCAGATAAATACTTTCTGAATGCAAGAGCTATATCCAAAATAAAATAGGATATTGTATTTAAAATAACAACTCATTCACCAAGCCTATAAGCTCTTGTTAAAAAAGTTTGTTTTTAAGCTTAAAAAACATTCCAACCCAAACATGAAAGTAATAATAACAGCCTGAAATCAATGGACTTGCCATGTCAATTGTTATCAGCTCAAATAAGCCCAGAAACAAAAAGAAAATTAAAACCTAGATGGCCAACCCAGGCATTTCATCTTCCTCGACTTCTTTCCCTCTTCCGACTGCAACTGCAACACCCGGCGGCAATGGCTAATCCAGCGGAGCCAGCACGTGCAGCTGTGCCCCCTCGCCTGGTGCCAGATCCGCCCTACCAATAACAAAAATTCGTCCCAAGAATACATAACCGCACCAAACTTTTCCACTTCTTCCCTCTGTTGAGAAGTAAATTTACCAAAGCTCACAAGTACAATTGCTAAAAATAAAGATGCACAAAAGATTCGTAAATAATAACCTTCATTAAATCCATAACAATACTGAGAAAGAGACCTGACTCCAAAAATGACTTACTTTTCAAGAACTTTGTTGTGTTTAGAAAAGTTTTCAACAGCTGCAACAAAAGCATGCGTTAGCAAAAGTGTAAATTTCCCGACCTCAACCTGATCAGACGAATCAAACGTACATTCTGTATATAGCCACCAATTCCAAAGTTCATGAGAAATTTTATAACAACCCTGTAAAAAGATTACATTTTTAACGTTAAACAAGTGTACCTCAGGAAAATTTTTCTCCTCTACATAAGCAATTGTGACTTCAGCATGGCAAATGATGAATTCAACAGCATCAGCACCTTAACCATGCAAAAGGAACTTATAACCTAATGATACTATGGATAGTCTTAAACCATAGGTTCCAAAAGCATTTGGTCGCTGATAAAAGCCTATAAGCCTTTGAATTTTAAACTGACAGAGGGACTAATCGAATCAAAATACGTCTCTGTCTGTCTCCCTTTAAAACAAAACTCTTTAACTTTTATACTCATTTTCAATCACACATTCACATAATAAAACATTTTGCACGTAAACCCAAAACTTTTTCCTACTTTTTAACCACACATTATTCCAAGAATCACTATACAAAACATCATTTTTTTTCTCAATAATGGCCATCAAACGGGGGCTAATTGAAAAGCTGAGTGCAGTAGAAGGGATTTACATATCTAAGGTGCTGTATGAAGGAGCACAGAAGAGTCCATGAGCACACGTGTCCGCATTTTTTTATTATGAGTTGGAAAAAACTTGGAAATTTCTGTTGATATTTTTGCGACCGCATTAATATTGAATTCTAAGGCGCAAAAAGTAACCATCCATGAGTAATACTCAGAAGGGAAGGAAAAAAATTTTGAGCTAGGAATGAAAAGGAAAAATATAGAATGCAATAATGCCAAAGATATTTTGATTCCTTTCTTCATGTTAGATTAAATTGCAATATCGTAAATGAGTAGTAAGGGGCAGAAGTCAAAGAGATCACCAAAGAGGACTGATAAAGGGAAAAAGAACAAGAAAGATACACCTGAGACGATATAAGAAAACAAATACAATTTCTAACAAATAACTAATTAGCGTCCATAAGTAACCAAGAAATGCTTAGTAAATAGAAGATCATTATAACCAAAAATATTTGTCCCAGAAAATGATAACAAGGCAACTGATTCTCCACAGCGTACAATAGAAGAAATCCAGTGTTCAATGGGGAAAGCTAACTTGAAATAACTTACGAAAAAGAGAAAGATTTCAAATGATGTTAGCATTGGGGTATTTTCCTTCAGTAAAAGTAACGTAACAATAGAAATGTGACTTACTTCCTTAATGCCACAACCACGAACAGAATTCCCAACTTTCATCACCAAGTCATATACTTCTTTGTATGTCATCCATACATATTTACCAGGATGGGAGTACAAGAATCAAATAATGGAGTAAAGTAAAAGTTGAAAAAAAATATATGAACAAACAGAAAAAGTACATGCGTAAGTTTCAGACATGAAGGAATGAAACAATTGTTTCGTTTAAAATATACATTTTTATTGATGATCTCACGATGACCCGGCATTCGGTTATTGGGATATTTCTCCACTGACAAACTGTGACGAGAGAGAGAGAGAGAGAGAGAGTCAAATTCAAAAATTCAGGAGAATAAGACATTAAAATGGAAAATAACAGAGTGAAATTCAAGCATAATCATTCAGTAAACTTCTAGGTTCCCTTCTCTGAATCTCCCCCTCCTCCCCTTCTTTACCTTCCTCTATATTTCAATTTCTCTTTTCTGTTTACATTCTGTTTTCAAGACCTTTGTAGATCTTGCTGGCAACCATCTTACAGGGAAGGATTTTACTGAAACATTTGTTGTAGAATGCTTCCCTCTTACACTCTTCTCTAGCTCAATTGATCATGGTTGGGCTTCTGGTATATCGACAACCACCATCCAAGGGTTGTTGGGCATGTTGGTTGAAGGTGGGGAAAATAATGTCAACCAAGTATATGTCACCTTGCATTACCTGCTTAATTTAAGGGTGGTGAAGAGAATGAGGCAATTGCTAACTTCATACAAAGAAGATATCCAGACCTTGAACCTTGAAGACAAGGTTAATTTAAGGGAAGGGACATCATGACTCTACATTCTAGAACGTTCTGTGACTCTATAAAATCAGCACATGGGGAGGATGAAAACCAGATTTGGAAGATTGTTAGCCTTTGGCAAAATAGAATTTCCCACCCCCCTCTCTAGTCACTTTCTCCATCCCTTTTCTAAATCTCTATCTCTGCTTCTTTATCTCTAAATCTGAAATTTTTCTTACTTTTCTTAATCTTTCCCTCCTACCTTTCTTCTTCAATTTTCTGAATTTTCCCTTCTTCATTCTGTTTACATTTCAGTATTTCATTGTATTTTCATCTCAATTAATAGAACTACAGCTTAGGTTATTGATTCCCAGCTGATTTCTTTCAATTGTGTTTTACTTGGAGTTGAATTTAGTTGGTTTTGGTTGAAGTTGAGCTCCAACCATCACAAATGGTATCAGAGTTGCTACAATCCTTGGTTGTCGCTCGATTGGATGGCATAATGTAAAAATTTAATAGAAATCATGAGATGATGATTTCGATATTGACTAAAATGATTGAGGATCAGTCAACCTCCAAAGAGGAACAACATGAGTTCAACATTAGTGGTGGAGCAAATGAAAAATCAGCATCTAAATATCAGTCCAACCGTTATAGTTCTTCAGCAGAAATGGCCAAGGCTTCTGACGTGCAAATTGGCGGTTTAGGTTCTAAACTAGAAGAGTACCTGGTCAAGCAGGTTAGTTCATCTGATATGAACAGAGATGATGATTCGGGTCGTGTAATTACCAAGCAAGTTGTTGAGGCTGAGACTGTTGAATGACTAGTTTTGAGAAGTTGGAATCTGGCTTAGGTGTTGAGAAGGATGAAGAAAACCCCAGTGCAGAGAATGTACTAGTTTTCGGTAGTGATTATAAACAATTGAATGGCAATGTTACTAATACGGATATAACTGCAGGACATACTGGGGAAGAAGTGGGAAAGTGGGTGATGATGGTGAAAGCTCGTAGTGTCTATTATTAATTTTTCCAATGAACACACTCTCATCAAGCTTGGATAGTGCAGTCACTCGGATAATCAAACGCTAGCGAAAGCAATGGAAATTTGGTTTTTTCCAAAGAAGCTCCACTTGAACGACTACTGGAATGCAATGGAAATGAAGTGAAGAAGGCAAAAGCTGGTGCCAAGGTCCAGAAGTTCACAGAGTGGGCTCTTAAATGTCCAAGTGTCCACTCTCATTTCCCAGGAAATAGAGAGAATAGAGAGAGTGGGCTGCAACTCTGCCATCGAGATCTAGCTGGAACTATCTGCTTTCAAGAGCTTTGTAGATCTTGCTGGCAACCATCTTACGGGGAAGGATTTTATTGAAGCATTTGATGTAGACTGCTTCCCCTTAAACTTTTCTCTATTTCAATTTATCATAGTTGGGGCAACCGCCATCCAAGGGTTGTTGGGCATGCTGGTTGAAGGTGGGGAAAATAATGTCAACCAAGCTTATGTCACCTTGCACTACCTGCTTAATCCAAGGGTGGTTAAGAGAATGAGGCAGATGCTAACTTCATACAAAGAAGACATTTAGACCTTAAACCTTGAGGACAAGGTTAATTTAAGGGAAAGGGATGTCATGACTCTACATTCTAGAACGTTCTGTGACTCTATAAAATCAGCACATAGGGAGGATGAAATCAGATTTGGAAGATTGTTAGCCTTAGGCAAAATAGAATTTTCCATCCCCCTTTCTCTAGTCACTTTCTCTATTCCTTTTCTAAATCTCGATCTCTGCTTCTTTATCTCTAAATCTGAAAAAATTCTTCTTCTTTACTATTATTGTAATTCTTCTTAATTCTCTTAATCTTTCCCTTCTCCCTTGCTTCTCCGATTTTCTGCATTTCCCCTTATCCTTTCTGTTTACATTTCAGCATTACATTGTAATTTCGTCTCAATTAATAGAATTACATCTTGGGTTATTGATTCACAGCTGATGTCTTTCAATTGTGTGTTATTTGGAGTTGAATTTAGTTGGTTTCGGTTGAAGTTGAGCTCCAACCATAACACAAGTATACACAATATCGTGTGTGCGATACAAATACATCAAACAGAGTAATCGCAATGTTTGTGTCGCCAATACCAAACAAAAACAGAAAGGTTAATGCTTTGATTATTAAATCTTCTATAACGATACAGTTCGATCACATAAATCGTAATGCTTTCAATTTCCATAACGTAAATCAGTTAATATCGGTGCATAAGTTACAATAAATAAATACCAGCATAAACACAAAGGCAAAAACTTCATCAAATCATCAGAGATTCAACTCATGCACGTATAATGAATCCCTATGAATAAACTTCGAAGTTGAAAATAAATAAATCGTGTAATCAATTGAAAATTCCGTTAACATAAAACATCCCAGAAGCTATCGAGACCAGGAATCGGCGCCGGAAATCCATCCTTGGCGAAAACGCAGTGATAAGCGGGTCCAATCCACGGGTTTCCATGATTGGCTTGCTTAGCGGGCTCCACTTCTATGATAAACTCATAAACCTCTTATCCTCCATTTTCGATCCTTCTGATTCTCCCTGTAATAAATTATACTTGTAAATATAAATGCGTAGGTAATGTGAAGCCGATTAGATGGGAATTTCCGACTAGCAAGAAATCATGAACTTTCATGTCATGTGTAGAGCATTTATAGTCTTATAGATGGTGGCTATGTATATGCAATGCCAAACGGCGTAAATTAGAAATCGAAAGTAGTGTGTGTGTGTGTGAGAGAGATAGAGAGAGAAAGAGAGAGAGAGTGGAAGGGGATTCATGCAGCTATACAGTACACACACACTTCAAGTAACCAGTAGTAAGCACATGTGTTCTTACGTACGAAATGAATTAGATGAGTAACATTTTTAAAGTAAGATAATTGATAATATTAAAGAAAGTTAAAATTGTTAGAGAACACACACATATATGTATGTATTTATTTGTATGTATGAATAAAAGTTTTATGAAATTACGAACATAATGTGAAAATGTTGAGTAAACTGAAATGTAATATTTTGTTTACTTGTTTGTTTATACTAGACATTAGTTCGACCCTATTTTCAACCATTATAGTGACATCAACCAACTTTGTAGTGCATACGAACACGAAAAAAATTGAATTAAGAGATGTCCATTTGACTAAGTTTAAAATGTTTGCTTATAAGTAAACTAAAGGTATATATATGATTTTCAAAATAAAAAAAAAAAATTTACTTATTTTGTTTGTAACATTAACTTTTTTACCTTAAAAAGTAAAAATAAAAAATTATCTTATCTAAACATATTTAAAAATAAAAAAATTACATATTAATCCATAGCATTTATTTTAAATTAAAAATCGAAGTTTCATTCAAAACGGATATAGAAGTGAAAAATCATAGAACAAAAATTTTCTTTTTATTTTGAATTGGATTAATACAAATGGAAGAATAAAAATTCACCCTTTAAATGTTTCGAGATAAAAATATTTTTCTTTTCTTTATATATTTATATTTAACAAGTAACTGGATTACAATCAATTTTTATGTTTACACAAAAATGAACACGGAATAATAATAAAATACCAATACTATATTAATTATTTTTAGAACACATAATATTAATTTTTATTAACACTTAGAATTTTGATTTTATTGAAAAATGTGTAATTGAGATGCGAAACTTGTATTTAGTATGATTGATGCAAATATGGAAAGGTAAGTAACTCCTAATTATACGTGCTTTTAATAACTATGATATGGAGTAATAAGTAAAGTTTTTAAGATTGATGGATAATTTCTCCCATCTTGACTCTTTTCCTAATAATTGTTGATTACATTTAAACAATATTTTCATTTTAATTTATTCTCCTTTGCATTTAAATAGTTATATTATCTATTATATTAATTGAACATGCTATTTATAACCTTTGAATGAAAATGTTGACAATGTTATATAAGGATAAAGTGATAAATTGAAGTTTCTAATGTGTCTCCACATTTTATTTTTACATATCATAATTATAATATAATTATATAAGTAGATGAACGTTGATTTTAAATGAAACTCACGTATATAAATAATAAATAATATAATATATATACATGAACATATGAAATAATATTGTAATATATTAAACGTGGCATTGATGATAGATTAATTACAATTTAACTTTATGTAGTCTCCTTTAAGTATAGTTTATATTATAATTAATCTACCATTTTAGTAATACAACATTTAATAAATTATATAATTATAATAAAATTACATCTATATATGTGAACTTCAATTTTAAGTAATAAACTTAATTTAAATAATGCAATATAAGTAACTAAACTTAATTTGATTAATGAAAATTCTAAGTACTCTAATATAAAATAATAAGCATTACATTTAAATGGATATTAAATGAAGTTAAATTATATTAAATTGTACTATATTAAATATATTAGGGTAGAATTCACATATATCAAAATATATAAGGATAAAATCGGTATTCAAAAGTTTCTCCTCAATCCACACTTTATTGTAGATAGATAATTATTATTTGTACCCATATTGCAAAGTTCATGAAATATAACGGCATATCTTTCATCTCTCTCTCTCTCCGCACTCCCAACCTCTCTTCCCCACCCCCACCCCCCCCCAAAAAAAAAGAAAAGAAAATTCTACATTTATTTCGCTCCATTTATCAATTAAAATGTTATAAACTCTTTCCAAACATAGGCTCCAACTATTTCGTACTTTATTAGTAAAAATAGTCAAGTGGTAACATTTTCATTCTTTACTTTTACACAAGGTCCGTTTGATTGCAAAGTTGAAATTGAATTGGGTGAAAAACGAATTTCATGAAATTAAATTGCCTAAAATTATTTTCCTGAGAATTGTAAATTATTGTGCTTGACTGGTATAATTTTTCACGTGAAAAATCTTGAAATAAAAGTATTTTTTGATGTTCATTTGCCTTTGTTTTATATGAAAATTGCCAATTAAAATGATAGAATTTACTGGTATTGGGGATGACATTGATTTCCATCGCCAAAAAGCAAAAATAAAAATAAAAATAAATAAATAAATAAATAATTCAAGAAAATCATCTATTTTTTAGTGTTCGTTTGACTTTGTTTTACATGAAAATTATCAATGAAAGAGAAATATTTTTTTTTACAATAATTCTTAGAATTGGTTTCCATTGCCCAAAAAAAAGGGAAAAAAAAAATTTGCTGCAGTAGTCGAGAATTCCAATTCTCACCATATCAAGGAATAACACAACTTCCAATAAGGGTGTGTTTAAAAGGGTGAAAATGAAATTGGAAGATGGAATTGGAATTGAATTTTCCAACTTTAGGTGTTTGATACTTTTTTTTTTCCCATGAAATTCGAATTCTTGGCTGTCTTGAAGTTTGCACTTTTCTTGATTTTTAAGGAAAATCAATTCCCACCATATATGGTGGGAAATTGGTTTTCCTACCTACTGTAACATTTATTTTTTTTCGTTTATTGTTATTATTATTATTATTTGTAATGGAAACAAATTCTAAGAATTATCGTAAAAAAATATTTCCTTTTAAATGACAATTTTCATGTAAAATAAAGCTAAACGAACACCGAAAGATAGATAATTTTCTTGAATTTTTTTATTTTTTTTTTTGTGTTGGCAATGGAAACAAATTTAATCCCCAATACCAGTAAAATATATCCCTTTAATTGACAATTTTCATGTAAAACAAAACCAAACGAACACCAAAAAACACTTTTATTTTAACATTTTTCACGTGGAAAATTATACCAATCAAACACAATAATTTACAATTCTCAAAAAATAATTCCAGACAATTCAATTCCGTAGAATTTATTTTCTAGGCAATTTAATTCCATTTTTACAATCAAACGGACCCTAATAGTAGAGAAAAAATATATATATCATAGAGAATAAAGCCACTTGTCCAGGGTTAAAAATAAAGTAGTAAAGAGACAAACTGATATATTAAAAAATGATTGGATGCTTTTGTTTTAATCTTTCAAATTATTAAAGCATGCGTCGACGTGTGTTCTATCTGAATTTGAACCTAAATGTATAACATGATTGTATCGTGAAATCCCACAACCCAAAATTTATTTAATATGTCAATTATTGAATTTATTTATTATTCATAATCTATTTTTTCGATGATATTTGCAGAATCACGCCCGTTATGCGTCTCATAAAGGCTGTTTTATTTTCATTTTTCCCTAGAAATAATAGCCAACATAATTTACATTGCTGAGGGGTTAAAATCAAAGTATGATAAAGAAATTTTACGAATGTTATACACTTCAATAAACTTTAAAACATTTTTCTCATCATAGAACATCTTTTAACTTAAAGAGTTAAGCCCTTGTTTGGAGGAAATTCTCAGCAAATTTTTAGAAATTTTTTTTATTGTTACAAAGCAAAAATCAGCGGTCATTATCGACCAAGAAATACGAAATTACATATATACCCTTTTGACATCTATGAAAGGACATTTATTGAAACTAGTAGTAAGCACGTGCGTTGAACGTCTTTTGTGTGGAATGAATGATATACGTAATATTTTTAAAGTAAGACAATTAATTAAATTGTTAAATAATATATATATAAATAAAAGTTTTATGAAAATTACGTATATAAAGGGAAAATGTTGAATAAATTGAAATGAAATGTAATGATTTGTTTATACTAGATTTTGGTTGGACTCCTATTTTCAACTATTACGACGACATCGATAAATTTTGTGGTACATACAGACATGAAAAAAATTAAATTAAAAGATGTACATTTGATTAAGTTTAAAATGTTTACGTATAAGTAAACTAAAGGTATGTAAATAATTTTCAAATTAAAAAATTACTCATTTTATCTACATCATAAACTTTTTTACCTAAAAAATAAAAATCAAAACATATCTTATCTAAACATATTTAGAAACAAAAAATTACACATTAATCATGCTCGTCATATTAATCCATATCATTTATTTTAAATTAGAACCCAAAGTTATATTCAAAATAGATAACAAACTGAAAAATCTTAAACAAAAGTTTTCATTTTCTTTTGAATGGGATTAATACAAATAGAGGAATAAAAATTCTTCATTTAAATGTACCGAGATAAAAATCTTTTTCTTTTCTTTATATATTTATATCTAATAAGTAACATGATTACCATCATTTTTATGCTTATACAAAAATAAACACGCAAGAATAAATACCCGATACTAGATTAACTTTTATTAATGTTTAAAAATTTGGATTTAGTGGAAATGTGTATTTGAAATGCAATTCTTGTACTTAGTGTGTGTATACAAATATGGGAAGTGTAAGTGACTCCTAATTATTAAGAGTAATTGGTAAGGTTTTTAAGATTGATGGATAATTTCTCCATCATCTGTTCTTCCCCTCCTATTTGTTGATTACATTTAAGCAAACTCAATTAAATAATAACCTAATAAATGGATTATAATGTAAATTATGAAGATGAATAAGGGTTTTGTTGATAAAAATAAAAATTGCTTTGTTAATGAAAAATAAAAACTCAATGGATGAATTATAATGTAAATCATGAAGGTTAATAAGGGATTTGTTGATGAAAAATAAAAAATTACTTTGTTGATAAAAAATAAAAATTGTAAGAACAAAATACTCAATTGAATGATAAGTCACTAAATTTTCGTTGATTTTTTTTTTTAAATAATTCAATGTCAGTTTCACTCCTTATATTAATTCCAATCCAA